GTTATTAGTATATTCGTGTAAACATTCTGTTGGATTAGCAATTTTATTTGACTTGTATCAAGTTAGCGATAAAACACGTATTCAACCTTTAGGCAAACGAAAAGCAAAAAAGCGTCTCAAGAAAGTTAGCACAGCTTTACATTTTTTAAATGGATATAAATAAAACTGTAAAATATTGTTCGTTTGGTTAAAATCTCAATGAATATATTTGTGTTGTACATTGTACTTTGTTGAGAAATAAAAATGTGAAACGCATGTTGAAAAATTTGGTGATCAAAAGTATCCTTTTTGGTGATCTTTTGTATCTAAATATGTTTGGTGATCAAAAAAATTGATACCCTTTCTTCTTCCATTATAAATTTGTAGCACAATTTAATTGGCTCTCAATGTTCAGAAAGAAAGGAAGACTCAAAAAACATCGAAACTTCGCGCAGCTATTTCAAAAGTTCTTTGAACAAAACAGTATCTGTAATGAGAATCAATGAGAATTAGATCGATCCAAGGATCAGTTAATACCATAAATTTTGCCAAAAGTTTACAAATGCGTCACCTCTGGTTAATTCATGGCAAATAATTCATCTGACGATGAAAATAAGCGTAAAAACTAACCGTAAAAAAACCTGGGTCGAAAATGATGGCAAAGAATCGTTATCTTAAAAACCAAAAAGGGTTTTTAAAAGGCAGAAAAATCAATTTGGTATCTTGCAATACCCTTTTCAATACTTTAAAATACCCTTCTGGGTGTTTTGAAAAAATCATCCATATCCTACACAACTAAAAGGGTATTTTAAGAATGAAAATACCCTTTCGGCATCCTACAAAACCAGTTTTGGTATTTCATAAGAACAGGTATTTCATATCGATAAAAAATCCGTTTTGGTATTAATTGTTCATAACCTACTAAATCTTTTTGGTATTTTAATGGAAACGAAATACGCTCCAAGGGTTCTCTGAAAGATGGAATACCCTTTTACAAATGATAAACCCTTTCATTTCCTAGAGTACCGTTTAGCAGCAGTCGGGATACCAATTTTGGTTTTTTCCATCTTACACAAAACCAAAGTCAGTTTCGTGGAGAGAACGAAATACCCTCTTGGTTTTTCAAAATACGTTTTTTCTTAGAGAGTATCATTGGTACGAAAAAGCTTGAAAAGTAAAATTTCATCTGAACTTTTTCTGACGATCTCGATGAATTTCATTAGTCCAAGTGATACCAAAAAACTAGTTTTTCAGACTGTTCTTTTCTCTAGAAAAACGCAGTTTTCCTAATAAATACGAAAAACGCTTCGTGCCTACATGTTCACAGAAAATCATGAAATGGGCAAGAAAAAATAATTTTTTATCATAAAAAATTATACCAGTCAATAGATTGGACGAGGATGATCAAGTGAGCCACTTCGGTCCATGAGCTTCGAAATGAAGGAAGGCACAAGCAAAATCAAACAAAACACCAACTAAGCGATGTGTTAGCTGTCGATCTAACATTTGGAACAACTTATGGATTATGTAGGCAAGATCATCACTGGTAGATCAGTGCGGACAACAGACAAATTGTGTTTTATTAAAAGATTTGAATGCTTAGATGTTCTGCTAACTTCATGGTAACTGTTCGTTCCAGAATTTCACTATCATTTGATATGAGGCTGACATGGCGATAGTTTTCGATCGCAGATTGGTTACCTTTTTAAGAAACAGATCTTATCAGAGAATTTTTCTCAAGAGTTAAGGCTCACCGTAAAACATGTTGAAACTACAGTGCAATAAAATTCCAGCTGTACGATTCAGAAACTCAACTAAAATCTCGTCTATTTCAGTACACTTTGTGTTGTTTACCGAACCAACTGCAAGAAACCTCTGGAACTAAAATTTCAAACTTCTATATACCGAACTATATATATATATATAGTTCGAGAAGTTATACGCGTGAAAAGCCTAAGTTACATTTCGTATATTCTTGTGAACGAGAAGAGATGAAATTGTGGCTTTTTCAGGATAGGTAGCACTTGATGTGTGTTCTATAATGCGATATAAATATTACATATACCTCTCACTCCAGACATTACAGCAAGCGGAGCTTCATGAAGCACTTTTGTGAGCGATCGATCTCGTTATTATGAACGCACGTTGAAGTCGGACTACTTGCAGTAGATAGTACTCTCAGTGTACTATCTGAATCACCGTCAGAAGTTTGGGATACACAAAGGATGAGAGACGATAAAAGTTAGAACCACATGAAACATAGACAAACAGGTTGACTCATTCATTTTCTTTTATACACGCGGGATCACAATAGTCGTGTTCTTTTGTAAGGTTTTTGCCTCTTAATGTCCATTATGTATTAATTCCTGCTGTGCGTGGGTTTGTTGTGTTAGTAATTGTCTATTCTCGCATTTTATGCACTTTATTTTGCGTTTTTTTGTAAAGTTTAAGACAATTGTAAAGCAATTGTCAATCACCGCAAGGACCATTCAGTCAATAATCATTACTCACATAGTTTCATTTCTCTCTCTCTTTTTTCTTTCTCTCCCTTCTCTCCTTTTCTTTTTCGATGTTCTCATGTTAAATATAGTATTCACAGTAGTTCAGTTCGTTGAAGTGTGTGAAAGTGACGAGTGAAAAATTAACATACACTTTTAACAACATATGCCCTATGTTAGAATGAGAAAGCTATGTTTTGTAGAGCTCAATGAGTTGTACTTGGATCCATGGAGAATGGGATTGGGTCCAGGGATGGCTCGAATTGCAACAGGAAAAGTTTTGGAAAAGAATGGTTTTTCAGATTAGAATTGGGACTATTTTGGATTTTTGCGTACTCTAATCTAGTCAATTGTATAACCCAATATTTGCGTTTTGTAAAGCTCGACGAGTTCTGCCTATATCCATGAAGAGGAGGATTGGGCCACCTTATGGAGCGAATCCATTCATGAAATACCCGAATCCTTACCTAAAATATCTTACGTCCAACCTAGTAACATCATCACTCTTCTCCTCCAGCACAGAGTTATACCTACAAATATCTTGAACGGTATCCTAAACCATAGTGTACTTTTCTAATCTTTTCCCTTCTGGCTTAGTATTTCATAAACACTTTTCCTTTTTACAACTTGAGGAGAAAAACCGTAAAAGGATAAACAATATTTTTAGCTATGATATACCCTCTCTGATATGCGTATATATAACATGGCGCTTCAGTAAGTACAATTTTTAAGAGTGCTCGTAATCTATCATCATCGAAACTATCTTGATGTAGATATTCCATTTTCGAATATGTATTTTTTCTCCCTCACATCATGTCACAGAAGCGATGTAGGCGAAATCAAGCGCGTTAAGCCGTTTTGCAAAATAAATACATTTGCTATACATAAAGAGTAGATGATGTATTTCTCACTACTCACCTATAGATATACTTGAGCCCAAGGACAACTTGTTCCTTATTTTTCATCGATAAACAATGCCGTCACGCATGTTTTCGCGGATAGAAGCCTCTCGTGTATATAACGCACATAGACTGCACCATTTGTATCGACAGTTATCCAATACGAAATGATGAGGATCACATTACTACTTTCTCTCTATCTATATGTATTACTGATATCTGTATTCAATTATGTAAATTCGGCGATTGGAAGATCGGTCGTAGTGGATGTGCCTCATGAACATTGGAAGTTATTAGCCAACGCAAAACCGAGACCAACTCAAAATATTTCATTCATTATTGTCATTAAAAATAATGATGCACAAGTTTCAAATTTAGAACGAAAGTTCCAACAAGTAAGCGATCCAAGTCATGCAGACTACGGTAACTTTTTCAGCTATGATGAAATACATCAAAAGTTACTCTATAAAACAACAAAAAGTGGTGCAATTGTTGCAAAATGGTTACAAAAACATGACAAACTTAGTATCAGATCGACTGCTCATAAAGAGTTTCTGATTGTTCAATCACCATTACCTGTTCATATATTGCGTATTCCGAAGTAAAGCCATTTTACACTACAACTTGTGCAATAAAACGTCGATAATAGTGATACAACTAAACATCGAACCCACTTGCACGTGAGGCCACCCAATAAGAAGCCAGTCAATGGTTTATCTAATTGAACAGTTATTTCAAACGACCTTAGACACTTATCAGCATCGCATCAGTGGACAACAATCAATCAAAGCGAAACAATTTCAATTACCAAGCATTGTCTCTGACCATATTGATTACATTGAAGAATTATATAGATTTCCAATTGTACTAAACAGGACTATACCGAAACATTCATTAGCCGATAAGACAGGATCGAATGCCCCTACCCTAATATCACTTAATCCAACTGGAAAAAAATTTGAATTTTTTATTCAGTTAACATGTTCAGATGGTATAAGTGCAGGTTTTAGCGTATGTTCAGAATTTAGAGGCTACCACGTTACTTTTCAAACTGGCAGAACAACAGCAAACCAAACTGTATCATTAGAGAAGGCCAACTGTCAAGTATGCATTGGTTTGACCAGCATTATTATTTTTTATGAATGTATCTTGTATCATTTGAATGCTGAGAGTGTGTTATGTTATTTCACTCTCACATATAATATTGGTAGATATCAGCTGACTAAAGTTTCTGTTCAGTCAAAATTCGTAAAGAATGGCCGGACAAGTTATTCTGCTTCAGCCAGTCAACAAATTGAAAAAGTATCTGACGTAACACCATCGCTTTTGTCATCACTATATAATGTCAGCACGAGTACACTCAAACAGAAACGTCATCCTAAGAGTAGACAAGCGGTTGTTGGGTTTTCAGAATATTACAATATTAAATCGTTCAAAGCATTTGCGAAAACCTTTGGGAAAAACTTCAATTTAAAAATAGGTAAAGTGTATGGAATTGATTATAAGAATAAATCGTATGATGAAACTGAAACAGCGTTGGACATGGAATATATGGCAGCAATGGGTTCTGGTATCGTAACAGATTATATTTCAAACAACATTCACAATATTGGTTACGCAAAATTTTTCGCTACATTAGCGACATTGGAGTCAAATAAGCAAAATGTTGTTCCACTCGTTTATTCCATAAGTTATGGTGGAAGCGAAAGAACATATAAATCAGAAGCTGTTCGTATGATTGATATACACTTTATGAAAATGGGGGTCTCCGGAAAGACGGTTTTCGCTAGTTCAGGCGACAGTGGAGTATGGTCTAGCGCTGGTAATTGTGGAAACCGTTTTGACCCGGTATATACGAGTGCGTCACCTTATGTCACAAGTGTTGGTGGCACACAGTTAGTTCACGGTATTAATGGTAATTGTCGATACATACCACAAGAACGGGGCATATGTCTTGAAGAAGTCGCTGCTTACCAAAGTAATTTAACGCAATGTGTTATAACATCTGGTGGTGGATTTTCGGAATATCATTCAACGCCAACCTGGCAAAAGACGTTCGTTCAGCATTATTTGACTTCAGCCGGTAAACGTCTACCACCCTCAACATATTTTAACAAAAGCAATCGTGCATACCCTGATATTAGTCTACTTGCACATAATTACAAAACGAAAGAGAATAACGCTAATGATATTGTAGATGGTATGTGTAAAGACCGATCGCTTTTGAGTATGATAAAATTCTTTGCTTGATTTTTAGGTACATCAGCCAGCTGTCCGGCCATTGCTGGTTTATTCAGCTTAATTAATGATAAGCGATTGAAACTCGGTATGAAGCCATTAGGTTTCTTAAATCCTTTACTTTATCAATTAGCAGCAACAAATCCGGAGGTATACCACGATATTGTTAGAGGCAAAAACAATTGTAATGGTGTGTCATGTTGCAAGTATGGTTTTGAAGCACAAAAGGGATACGATCCTGTCACCGGTCTTGGATCAATTAATCATGGGCTAATGATGGACTTACTGACGTAAAATGCACTATATCCCAGCTCTATACGACCTTTATTTATAGTTAATAGAATTTACGAGAAAAGTCCTAAACTAATTTCTTCTTATTTCTGTGGCTTTGAGCTGACAATGGACATTTAGAGCTTTCCTTGTAAATTCCATAACTTAGCAAAGCAAGGTCGCGCAGAGCTGGGGAACGTCTCATTTTAATCACCCTTCAAACCTATATTAGGTGGAATAACTCATTTCTGCCTATTTTCGAGTATAATTAGAAAATTCGTAAGCCATTCAAGATCAATCTAAATTATGTCAGAATATCAAGATGTACTCTATTTTACCTGCTCAAGACGATTTTTTATTTCAGAATAGTAAAACCATTCTTGTACTTAGAACGATTTCTAGAAAACCTTTTCAAAAGCCAAAGTACTTTCTGATCGTTTTTAGAGTTTTTATTAAACTGCATGGTATTGAGCAGGTAAAATAGAGCACATCTTGATATTCTGACATAATTTAGATTTATCTTGACTGAATTATGAATTTTTTAATTATACTCGAAAATGGGCAAAAATGAGTTATTCCACCTAATATAGGTTGTTGGAGGTTTTCTCAAAAGCTAATATTGCCACGAGATTCAGCGTGGTTGATTATCTATGTTTCCATTATTTTCTACAAGTGAGATTTGTTAAACACCGTTTTCTGCACAGAAAAAGCATTCGAAGTGAAATACATTAAACTTTTTAGAAAGTATATCGTCAAGTATTTGTATGCTGAAAGTCTATAACTGTCGCGACTCTTATGTACGCTGCACTCTCAAAACTATTGAACCATGTTTATTTTCATTTTTTCTCCTGGAAGATAATAGTTACAACAATCATGTTTTATCAAATCATGTTTTAGCCGCTGAATCTGTTTCGATACTTAAGCAAAAACGTTTCAGTAAATTCAATATCTAGAAAACTTTTACACAATCAATGTACTTTCGATTGCTTCTTCCAGCACTTCTGAAACATTATTTCAGAAATTTTTTGGTCTCGAGCTTAGAAAAATTCTGATAATGGTGAAACTGTTATACTGTCGATGGCGACTATAGAAATCCTGTCGTTGTCATCAATAAGATGAGTGTTGCTTACTTTAAACACCTCTTTGTTCATTTCACCCTCATAAAATAGCACTATCTACTGCACTCGCTTTTGTATTCTAACAAATTCTTCTAGTGCTGCTTACTTCCACTTATAGCTAGCTCATTTTGTCAAGATGAGTTCTGGAACATTGAGAAGTGCAACGTCTAAACACGTCTTTGATCACATATAACAAAATAGCACCGCACTCGCTGATGTATTCTAACGTAAAAAAGCGGCTAGACACCCAGTCTGTCTCACGACAAATATTAAAGTAAAGATAAGGATTCTTCTATCAATGGAACTTCATTCATTATAATCCATTACTTCAACAAGGTCAGGCACATATTAGCATACATTTCTATCGAGAAACAATCAGACAATGTGATAATAATCATTTTCCATAATTAGCAAATTGTTATGAAGCTTTGGAAGATCACCTTCTCGATGATATCTCAGAATTAAAACAATTAATTGAAACTATAGAAAACAATATGGAACCGTTAGGCTATCACTTGAGATCAAAGAAAGTATTACAGAGGAAAAAGTGAGAAAATTAGATGTGGGCAAAATCAGAAATGATACTTAATGAATTGTTATTAGAATCATTCAATATATAAAAGCAGACTTTCTTTTTTTAACATATTTGAGGGGATTCCCCCACACGTTTTTTTTACCAGTTTATAGGGGACACTTCGGAGTCTACGTCTCCACAAAGCTTTCAGTTCCCGGATTTGTAGTTTTTGATAAAAAAAAGTTTTAAGCTTTTTTCGGGTTTTCTGCCCTATTTTTAAAATTAAAATAAAAAACTTCAGCTTTTGATATGAGGAGTTGATTCTGGCG